GCAGAAATGCTTTTGATTTCTCAAAACTACTTTTCTTGAAAAAAAGATTGATTGTAATTTGAAAAACAAAACAAAAAACACTTGGGCCAATATGTAAACAGCATTTATCCAGTGAGTTCATCAGATCTGACCATGCTTAGAAAGTACTAGTTAAATTGTTTTTGCATTATTATTATTCCAAAAAAGAATTCAATTCTACTTTTTCGTTTACAGTACTCAAACCTATACAGTTGTCTATCAGTCACAGTCGTATGAACAACATTAAACACATCATTAGCGTCATGTGTAGTTGAGGCCAATATTTTTTGTTTTTAACTACCTGTTAGATATTTTAAAGCAAGGAAGTGTTTCCCATGTATATCCCATTTACATTTGTATGATGCATGTTCTCTTTCTATGTAGTTGATGAAACCCGGGTCAAACTTGATAATCAAGGTCCAGATTACATCAATGCTAACTTTGTTACTGTAAGTATAATTATTTATTATTATACATCTGTCAGCGTAACGCCATACGTTACAGGGTGTGGTAATTTTGCGGTATTTTACGGGGTATTTTCATCCTACCATATAAGAAAATGCAAATTCCAAATATGGAATGATTACACACCTAAGTGTTCTCTAATAATAAAAATCCAAGCAACAATACCCAACTATAATGGCAGCCACCTTGTTTTGACCAGAATCCATACACAGAAGTTCGCTGATACTGTTCTAAACTTTTTGGATTTCGGCATTCCCATGATGTATCCTTGGAAGGAAAAGATGTATAATAATAGGGTTATTATGAAGATACCTCTCATTGACCCATGCTGCGTGTTAGTCGATACTGCCGCTGTACTGTCTTTGTGCATACTTTAAGGTATCCTTGTAATAACCTTATATTATACCTTATGTTCAAGGTCATCAGTGACGTTGATTTCTTTATTGCACATGTACAGTTAGTGTTTACAAAAAAACCAGAATGTTTTCTGCTTCACATTTATGTTTTGTTTATTTATATAGCATAATAAAACATATAATTAATGTATTGTTGTTCAATATTCAGTTTTAATGACCCAAGGAGTGCCTCGGCCAATAATTTGGTTATTAAAAATAAATATTTTCCTCCACTTTATTTGTTTTTAGAATTCCTTAGAATTTGGAGTGATGCTGGAAAAATATAGTGATACCAGCACAGCCAATTAAATACTAGTAGCATGTAATCTGCACATTAAATACTAGTAGCATGTAATCTGCACATTATTTTCTTATTTATTCTTGGCAGGGTGTTGATGATGCAGCTAAAGTGTACATAGCTTCCCAAGCACCATTACCGAATACAGTTGTAGACTTTTGGCGAATGATGTGGCATTACAAAGTAGAGATTATTGTAATGGCTTGTAAAACTGTGGAAAATGGAAAGGTAAATAATAACGTTTATGAGAGCTAAATGTGATTAAGTTTTTTCATACAAATATTAGAATCAGCAAATCAGGTATGTAATTGACAAGTGGGTACAATGCAGTACAAATTATGAACTTACCATGTAATAAATATCACCATATTCTTTTATTGATTGAAAATAAAGACTATTACTCACAGGTGTCTGATAATTAGGAGGTCACTTCATACTTTATTTACAGATTCATAGCCATCTTTATACTTTTTACTTCTTCCTGAATAATCCAGTTGATTTAGAAACTTCATACATATGTACTTCAGGTAGACCTCATTTTGTGACAATATTTTCAAATTCCTAAGTTTGATGAATATTTTTGGTAATAAGTAATATTTTAAACTTCCTGAAAACTGCAAGTCTAATTGCTTTGATATTTGATATACAGGTACCTTAACTTTAAGTGGACCTCTCTCAGTTTTGTTCATTTCCTGACGATATTTTCAATTCTCTAATTCTGATGTGTACTTTGTTTTCATTTTTGGCAATTTCTGACATCTTTTTGAAAACGTCAATTGTTTTAATATTTTATATGTAGGTGCTTTGGATAGATCACATTGATTTCGTCCTCTGTCAGATTAATTTATTTAGTGTTGATAAATTATCCAAAATTCTTTTAATGGCTAGACTGATATTTCTATTTTTCATTATGCATCTAAAAACAGCAGAGTGATGTCAGCTGACAGACTGCTTGTTATTTATATGATACATTGTTCACTGATGGATCCATATATCACATAATTCATGTTTTCCCACAGGACACTTTTAATATTCATAATTGCCTAATTCTTTTTAATTAATATGTGTGATCTTCTTTCATTTTTCCTGTTTTTCAGGCTAAATGTGAGAAATACTGGCCAGAACTAGATGATGAGAAGGTTTTTGGGTTATTTACAATAACTTTGGTAAACACATTTTTTATAGCACATTGTTCTAGAAAATTGACAAATTTCTCAATATGCAAATTAGATGTGCTTTTCAATTTGCAAAATAGATGTATTTCTGGATATGCAAATTAGTTGTACTCTCAATATGCAAAATAGATGTACTTCTCAGTATGCAAATTAGTTGTACTCTCAATATGCAAAATAGATGTACTTCTCAATATGCAAATTAGATGTACTTCTCAATATGCAAATTAGATGTACTTCTCAATATGCAAAATAGATGTACTTCTCAATATGCAAATTAGATGTACTTCTCAATATGCAAATTAGATGTACTTCTGGATATGCAGATTAGATGTTCTCAATATGCAAAATAGATGTACTTCTCAATATGCAAATTAGATGTGCTTCTCAATATGCAAATTAGATGTGCCTCTCAATATGCAAAATAGATGTACTTCTCAATATGCAAAATAGACTTTATTGTATATACATATATATATTACTCGCCGTGTGTTCTTTGTTTTAAATAGGCATCTGAAAAGCGTTTGAGTCAGAATGTTGTGGTCAGAGAAATTTGTGCACGAAAGGGTGATGTAAGTAATACGCCTTCTTATTTTTGGAGTGGTGGGGGGATGACACAAACACGGGCTTCACTGAAAATTTGAAAACATTTCATAAAAGCTGATAGTTTTTATAATTATTGCTTACTTATTTATTAACATAGCTACAACTCATGTATTTAACAGCTACTTGCATGTAGCTTCAGCACACACAAAATGCATACAATAATATTTTAATCCATAAAACCATACCATTTAAAGTCATTAGCATTATTTTCCAATTTGTTTTAGGAACAACGTAAATTTACTCAGTTTCACTATCAAGCCTGGCCGGATCATGGTATACCGTCATCTTCATTGCCAATCATAAATATGATAAAGGCATTTAGAAAACTGCAGCCTCATGATAATATACCTATAGTAATACATTGTAGGTAAGTTGTGCTAACTCATAAAACCTCTCAGTCTCAGGGAGGTGTATTTTTCTTTCTCTCAGGGAGCTATAATATTTCTCAATGCTGTTTCTCACTCTCAGGGAGGTGTTTCTCACTTTCTCAGAGTTGTGCATTTCACTCCCAAGGAGCTTTGTTTCTCACTTCCAGAAAACTGTGTTTCTCACTCTATTTGCTGGATTCTATTCTCACTGAATCATCTATCCAGCAAAAATAGCGAAAATAAAGAATTCTTCATTAAGCTGCTCCTACTGATTCACAATATGCTTTTCTTTACAGTGCTGGTTGTGGCAGAACTGGAGCTATTATTGTTCTAGACTTAGTTATGAAACTGTTAGAAATGGAAGTAAGTTTATATAGTCTATTGGAAGGTTTGACCTGTGCATTACTAAAGTATATTAAGTCATGGCTGTCAATTCTGCGTGGGCTTATTGCTAACAAATTAGAGATCACATATGCGCAAAGGCCACACATATAACCTTTTATTACATCAAGACAAGATCAAGATTTGAAAAACTTACATAACTGTGAAAGTATTATATAATTCATGTAGGATTGGCTTATGTTTGGTGTTGGATTAGTGTTGGATTTTTGGATTAGTGTTGGATTTTTGGATTAGTGGTGGATTTGTGATTTATCATATGATAATTTAACAATGGCTTGATGATCTAAGAAAAGGGATTTAATACAATTGTTTGGAAAATATGTATGTGAAGTTTGTTTTGATGCTGATGGTATATGTACGTCCATCCTACATAAATCATAGTGGAAGTGACTTTTGGTGATTTCTTCATCTCTATGCAATATTTAAATTCTGGTGAGACTTGAAACCATCCACATAATTTAATCTCTTTTGTTATGTCTGTCTATTTGTTAAATTGTCATATGATTAATTAATCCTATTGTCATTCATATGCTCACTATATCAACTATTTAATCTAATGTGTCTTTGGTGGTCTGACAATTATCACTTTTGTTATTACTTACAGAAAATAGAGGAAACATTTGATTTATTCAATCTCATTGATAATATGAGACGCCAACGCCCAGCCATAGTACAAACCAGGGTAAGCTATAATCTCATAAACTTACCCATAATTAACATTTCCTGTCTCACCCATCTGTGGATATTATCATTTACAATACAACGTGACTGTACATACTTGTGGAGAGTATTTATTGTAATTTTGTCTGACTTTATAATATGATAATTACATGTTGACCTGAAGTACATGTAAATTGTGCCTTATAGGATCAATATGAGTTTGTGCATCTCGCTGTATCAGAGTTAATGATTGAAGAAATAAAGAGTAAACATCAGAATCTTACTGGACATACTTATGAAAACATTCAGTGTGAAAATCCGGTAAATATGATCAGATTTGTATC